ACAGTGAAGTTTGGAGGTGGGAACATCATGGTGTGGGGCTGTTTTTCAGCATATGGTACTGGCAAACTTCAAATAATTGAAGGAAGGATGAATGCCCGAGTCCCCAGTTCTAAAGTCCTCACACTCAGTGGCGGATCTGGGATTTTTCTGAGTAAGGGGCCACAATATTCATACAGGGGCCAAGTATTTGTTCAGCATCCTTGCACACAAATTCTTTGTTTTTCTAAGGTGTATATATTTAACCAGTCGCACATTTAAACAGTTGTAATTTAAAAAAAAGCTTGCACAGTAAATTCTCCTTACAAATTTCACATGGATTTTAACAGTACTCTCAAACACGCAGCATGAGAGAATCCAGTTCAATTCAATTCAAAAATTTATTCATTTCATCAAAAAATAACTAAATACAATAAAAAACAATGAAATTACACAAATCAAAAATCAAAATAAAATGAAAGGTAGCAAAAGAAGAATAACTCTTATAATGTCTGCCCCTTTTATCCTCAGAATATATTCAATCCAGCCATCATTTGTGAGTTGAAAGACTTTTTCTGCAGGATTGTTCAAATTTGGAAAAACAACAACAACAAAAAAAAAGACTTCTGTCAGCTTGATTCATGCTGGACTTTTCTATTGGTCTCATTAGCATTAGTTGTTTTAGTTCAGTTTTCCTCAGAGTAAGGTTCATCAAAACTTTCCTCACTTTCATTGTATCCAAGCTGGATCTCTTAAAAACTGGAAGTGAAGGATTTGTTACATCTACAGAAAATATAGCAAACACAAAAGAAAAAAAAAAAGAAAAAAAAAAAGAAAAAAAACTGACACGTGTACCAACCAGACGCTTCTGCTATTTCTGTTAGTTTTCTTAAACATGACTTTGTTGACTGTTGGAAACCATGGCAGACTTTCATGGACATTAGATCTGAAGTTAATAAACAAAAATAAAGTGACGCCCATTGTTTTGTAGCTACTCCGTACTGTTGACACCTCCTGTTTAATTGTCTTTGTGTTCTGTTTCAACACTTATATTTATACAACAGAAAAAAGAGAATAGAGTTCAGGATATTGGATAATTACATAATAATTACATTACTGTCTGGATTAATGCAGCCAACTGGAAAAAGATATAAAATATTTTTATATTATGTGAATCAATGAAACATGTCTTCATGTTGTTCAATAAAAATTAGAATTTAAGAATTTAAATGAGTTTGTTTTCCCCACATCAAACATTATAACTTTGAAGTGGTGAAAACTATAAAGACTGACCGAGGCTTACTTTCCAGTCAGCATTTCTTTCTGTCATAGGATGCTGTCAGGGAGGGACAGACACAGATATATTGTCACCATGGTGACTGTAATGAGCCACGGACAGCAGCCTAAACGTTTCTTTGATCTTAACTGTCTTATACAGTTTATACAACCAAACATTGGCATTTTAAATGATAAACTATTGTGAAAGTTACAAAAAAACTTTTTAAAATAGAATTTATTGAAGTTGGAATTTGGGGCTTTAGCTGCCCAAAATACAAACTTGTATTTTTCAGAAACTTTCTGGTTTGATGTTCCTTCCTTCAGATGTTATATGTTTATTTGCTCAGAGACACACGTTCTCATTTCACAGCATCTGTCAATCCATCATCTTTACCTGCTTCTWCCTGTCAGAGACACAGGTGTCCATGCAGCAGTCTGTGTGAGGAGTGGGTACACCCTGGACAGGTCTCCAGTCCATCACAGTCTAGAGACAATCCAACACTCACTCATGCACAGGGACAGTTTAGAGCAGAGGTGCCTAAAGTGGAGCCTGCGGGCTGAAGTTGGCCCGCCAAACAATTTGATTTGGCCCACCAGTTGTCCTGGTTATTAGTTTGTAATCTCCTGTTGTCCTCTGCAGAAACACTGTATTTCCACTGACAATCAATCCATCCACTGGCCCAATATCTGTGTAAAGAGATGTAGTGACGATAGTTGGCTTTATCTTTGAATTATTTYACGATTAAACATGAAATAAAACTAAAGGAGTTACAGTATTTAGATTATATTTCAACACACGTCGATTTGAACACTTTATAAGACCACAAATACTCAGATTTTATCAATTTAAGTTCAGTTTATTTATATAGCGCCAAGTCACAACATACGTTGTCTCAGGGCACTGTACGTAAAAAGAACAATSTAAAGAAGAAAGCAGCAGATTGTGTTGAATCACTTCATCACAGTCTCCCATCCTGAGCAAACAGTGGAGAGGAAAAACTCCCTGCTAATCAGGAAGAAACCTCCAGCAGAACCAGGCTCAGGACAGGCGGCCATCTGCCTCGACCGGCTGGTTGAGGGACAGGAAAGAGACACAGAAGAACTGGTCCAGGACTGGTCCAGTGTGACTGTAATGGTGTTTATGAATTTATCAATCCCATGAGCCTTTGCTGCTCGAGCATATGTCAAACGTTCTCCAAGTACACAGGCTGAAAGAACAAACAAAATGTGGGCCACCACTCTAGCTCCTAGCCTAAACATGAAAAATAAAGTCTTTACTTAAAAAGCATTTGCATTTCATATATTATATTATATTACTGCATTTGGCCCGCAGTCCTTGGATAGATTTTCAGTTTGGTCCTCTCTGGGAAAAAGTTTGGGCACCCTTGATTTAGAGTCACCAGTTCACCTAACATGCATGTTTCTACTGTGGGAGGAAATCAAGAGCACCCGAAGAAAACCCACAGGTGCACGGAGAGAACACGCAAACTCCACTTAGAAAGGCCAGAGGCGGGAGTCAAACCTGTGACTTTTTCACTGTGAGGCAACAGCTCTAAACACTGCACAACCGTGCASTGTTCAACAAGCTTCAGATTAGGGGTTGGGCAAAATCATATCAGGTGGAATTAGTCCTATTTAGTGATTAATGAGTCGTGCCACTGGGTGGACAGGGATGAGGATAGTTGCACCAAATTTGAAGTCAATAAAAAATATTTACATTTACAATAATTTTATTACCATTCATCTTTTAACTTGCCCACAGGATAAGTCAATCTGACCAATCACGGGTTTGCCAAACTGCCCACCCAGGAACTTCCTGCAGAGACCCGATTGGCTCCATCAGCTGCAGCTCCAKGTTCAAAAATCACCTCATTGCTTTGCCTTAAAGACACCAAAACTGACTCGACAGCAAACTACAGTAAACTACACACCAACTTTAAACTCCTAACACTAAATATCAAATGTGTCAGTCCTGATCTCACCACCAAACGTCCTTCAACTTTTTTCTGTTTTTTATTCTTCCTGTAGAGTTTTTTTGGTGTTTGTACAATAATTTGAGATCTCAGTCAAACAGGAGGTCGGGGGTTTTATGTTAGTTTGGTGGGGTGGGGGGTGAGACCACTGGAGTGGATTGAGGTGTTTTTCCATAAATCTGTCTGGATTTCACTTCAAAAATGATAAACATAAAAAAAGTGCTGTAAATGATTTATCACGACTCTATTTTTACTTGGTGCATCAGCATAATTTAAAAACTGGTGTTTGGCTTAAAGGCACAGTGTGTGGGATTTTGTCGAGTCTTTTAGCCGAAATTGAGATAATCACAAATGACAATAATAAAAACATGTATAATCATTGCAGGCAAAGATCTTGTTTTATTATTTTTACCTTATAAAAAGCTGTTTATATCTCCACGGTCGCCACACAGGCAGCTGCCATTTTGTCTACGAAGGCTCATGA